TTATATTTTTTTTTCAATATCCCATCATGCTTTCAATTACACTCTAAAAAAGTAATTGAGATTTCACAAAATATTGGGTAAAAAAGGGAACATACATATTTACAAATACATAAAGCAAAATTGCGTAAATATTTGAGTACATTTCTCTTGAAAATGTGTGGAATTTAACCCCCCCCCCCCCGAAAAAGAAAAAAAAAAATATATATATATATATATATATATACAAAAATGCATGTTCCCTTTTCCCCAATATTGAATAAAAATTAAACTGTTTTAAGATTGTAAAGATGTTGGAAGTCCATTAAACATATATTGTCTCAGTTTTAGTGGATGTTAAATATGCAATCTGCAGGTTTAAAGGTTTATCATTTGTTTCTATAGTATGCAAAATGGTGACACGACATTTGCTCCTGCGACAATTGCTCCGGGCTTTATTTCGTCTAAGATGTAGGGTTAGGGTTAGGGTTTCAATAGGGTTTTATGTTAGGTTTAGGGTTAGGTTTAGGGTAGGGTATAGTGTTGAATCCAGGGTTGAAGTTAGCCATTCGATTAGTGTATGAAATTTACAGCGGAGCAATTGTCGCCGGAGCAAATGTCATGGAATCAAAAAATACTAATAGGATCGAACACAAACCCGGTGATGATGATTTCAGAGATAATAGCTACATTTATTTGGGCACATATTCATCCCAGCAGGGAAGGTTCAATGAGCACCCAAAGTACTTTCTACCATGTACATGACACAATGAGCTTCTCATCTGGGATTCGAACCACGAACCATTTAATCCAAAGTCCGGTAACCTATCCTCCAGATTAAGACACCTCTACTATACCAAGAACAATTTTTTTATTAGTAGTAGCATTATTGAATTATGTGAATCTTTTTAAAATCAGCTCATCGTGAATAATGTTTAAATAACTAAATTAATAGATAACTACGTTTTCGTAAAGCATTGATTGTGTGAACGAAACTAAGGGAAAGAGTGAAGAAAAGAAAAGGAAAAAACACAGGTATAAAGAAAAAAAGAAAAGAGGAAGAAGGAAAGAAAGAAAGAGAGGGATGCAACATGAAGAGAGAAACGATAATTATGACCCATTCTCACAACCCCCCCCCCTCCCCCTCGAACGTTATAATTCTATTTTCGTCAACCGTCTACAGGACCAGTGCCCCCTGCCCCCTTTGATAGTAGTGCCCTTCGCGCCCCTTACCCTATAAGTAAAATGAATTCCCACTACACCACTGGGCAGGATAACCGTTAAATGCCTACAAACAAACACATTTTCGCTTGTGTATTGTTCAATGATTTTGACGTCATTTCATTCTTAAAAGTTTGCAGTTTGAGAGGAAATCCGTGGATGAACATGGGAACGGAACGCGGATAAGTAAAGTTCCCGCAACACTCGTGATACCGTCTAATAACGCTGGTCGCCTTTGTTTGGGGATTGTTCGGCAATATCTATTTCTATCAATTCTGTTTGAAAGGTCATTGTGTTAACGGGATAAAAGTTTAAAGTGGGCAGAACATGAAGTTCAGTGTTACAGCCACCCCAACGATAGCTAATGGACATTTTTGAAGAGAAAAAATGAGTAAGGCCAAATTTTAGCAAAGAGATAATCCTTAAAGACATCGTTTAACAAATTTAAATCTGAAATGGATGGCCCTACGTGCTATCAGTGTATGTGAAATAGTCTAAAATTGAAGGCCTAAACAAAAATGCGCTTCAAAATGATCATGAAGTTCCTCAAAAAAGTAAAAAAAATCTTTAATTGACCGGTTTTACCATACCCGTTTTCCCCGATAGACTGTAGTGTTAACATTTGTTTGAAATTTCGATTTCCAATCATAAATATCTTGATAATCAGACAGGCGATCGGATAGTAAAAGTCATGGGGTTCCTGACTAACCTAAAGGTTTATAATTATCATTGTAGCATGAGCTAAATCCAGGATTTTGTTTCAGAATCGGACACTCAATCCCTTTAATACATTGTATATATATATTTGTGTGTGTATGTAATGTGTGCGTGCGTGTGTGTGTGTGTGTGTGTATGAATGTGTGTTTGTATTGTTAATCGAAGAAATGATTACTCAACTGAAGAGGATTCAGATACTGTAAACGCTGATATTTTTGCGCGATTAATTTTTCTCGCTGAGTGACCCTAAAACATATTCACTGGTTCTAAAATTCGCGTTGCACCAAATTCAGCCCGTTCTGAACACGCATAAGAAGTCATGCTTAAATTTTCGCGGCTTAAAGGTAATACAAAATTTTGGAAATTTTGAAAATTGGGTGGATGGTGATTCTTAACAATTTTGATATATTAGGATGCCGCTGTGGATGAATTATAAGCACAAGAAAATTTGGCCCCTAAACCACTTCTGCTTTTAAGAATAATTGAGTTATAAAATTTACCGGTGCTCCCGGTAAATTTTGATAAATTTCAAATAGCGCCTACGTCCGTACAATGGTAGCTGCGACCATGAAAATCTCAGGATATGTAGTTGTGATATATAATTTCCTAACGGGAATAGCTAATCGATCGATTTTAGTCAAGAAACATTGTTTTATACCTTAATTAAAATCTTGAACTTGAGAGGCAGCTTTACAACATAAAGAGTTTTATTATTTACAATTTCATAACTTCAGACTCGATTTCACCCGCGACAACGATCACTGAGTATTGTAGGATCACGTATGCTTCCAATATGTTCATATGAACCAAATTCATGACCCCATACCAAAACTGTGTATTACCTTTAACAGTAAGCCAGAGTGATACATAACAAATGTTAACTGTAAGCGAGAAAGAAGGGAAGGGGAGATGTGACAGATGGACAGACATTATGTGTACCAATAGATAGACAAGGAGGGAGGAGGGGAAGAGAAGGAAAGAGAAAGAGGGTTAGGAAAAAGTAAAAGAGAAAGATAGGAAGCTAGAATAAGATATAAACGGTGAGAGAGAGAGAGAGAAAGAGAGAGAGAGAGAGAGAGAGAGAGAGAAGGGGGTAGGGGTCATTTTCATGAACATAATATGGTTTAATACAATATTTTAAGTGTATATAATTTTATACAGATTTTCCCTACTAATTTACATTTTACACACTTTTGCACGAAATATCTACATCTTTCGTATTTTATCTTATAGTTTACGGCAAGCTGCATAACAGCAACTATAATCACATCAGATAAGATTCAAGGCTGCAATGATAACCATGATTTTAATTAAAAAGGGTCAGCAAGTTAACTTCAATGCTTTATCATACCCGATTAAACAAAAAAAACAAACAAACAAACATACAAACACCGCCTGTATATAGTATCTCGTCTCGAGCGGGGCGGCGTCACATCCCAATTACAACCATTGTTGGAGTCGACTCGGTCTCAAGTAGGCTAGCCGGTACATGCATGGACTGATATTTGAGGGGGGTAACAATGACTTAATGGGGTAAATGCCTTTCACTTTTGTCGTCTTTAACAAGATTTACCCGTCCAAATCGAGATGAAAGGAAATATTTGGCGCACACACGCTACATCTCGTTGCACATTCAAGTATTTGTGTTTAGTGTATGTAATAACAAACCAACCCCTCTCTCTCTCACTTTTGTTCTTTAATATAGTAAGAGAGAGAAAGGGAGAGAGAGAGAGTGCAATGATACAAGGTGGATTAAGGCGTGTCCTTTTTACAATTCTTTAATAAACATTCAATACAAAATTGTGTTTTGTTACTATAAGAGAGAACGGGAAAAGAATGTGGTTAACATAATCGGAGCAATATAAATGGAGTAGACAGTTATTTGTACTCTTCCATTCAACTTTGTTCTGAAACGACGGAACGTCTGTCGATGAAAGGATATATACATGTACAATTAAGAATAAAGATAATGTGACAAAAATTGGCAATATCCCCTACAATATTAAAAAGTAGGAAACGCTTACAATTTTGCTTCAATAATGTGTATTACATTTTAAATGAATTTTCAACGGTTTCTTTTTATTCGGGGATACGATTGGTCATTAAATCTCACATATATCAAAATCTGCACCAAAATTGTCAATAAAAGTATGACGAGACAAACATGAGAGACAAGTTTATGAAATTAAAACAAAAATAAACTAAATGTCCTTGTCATTGATCTGGTGGCACAATTTCCGATTGTAATCATGAATAGTTGGAAATGTTTATTGACTTTGCTAATTAGGTTATGACTGCAAAAGATACATTGTATAATGTGACGTTTCTATTCTAATTCACTCTGCAATTTCTAGGAAAATTAAAAGCATAGTTGATAACTTCCGGGGGACGACATTATTTGTAAAAGATGAAAATCCCCTTTATATCTACAACTTTCAACCACAAAGGAAAAAAAAAACATGCTTTCAAGAGTAATTTGATACGGAAGTAAATGAATAGCACAAAGTTAGTTTAATGGATACTGAATCGGCGATGAGTATGCAACAAAAAAGCAAAAAAAGATTCCTCTATATATGATTAAGTATATACATATCCATACGTTTTTTCAATGATGGTATGTTTCATTTAAAATTCATATAATTTTCGTCTGTCGTTCTCATTTGGTCAGGTATATCTGGTTCCTAGTCTCCTTCAGCAAATTTGTTATATTGTATTATCTGCAGACTTAATGATTTCGTCAGTTGCTTCTCTCCTCCATTGGTTTGACATACTCCTCGCTGATACAATATGATTAAGCCTGTCAGACGTATGATTGATTAGAATGAAAAAGATAATCAAAATACAAAAAAATGAAACTGTCTTTTCGATTTTGCGCAGTGACCTGATGACATCATAATGTTAACCTTGGTGGAAAGGCTCTAACCAGTCGCTTAATGGCTTTAATTAGCGTGCGTGTGTGTGTGTGCTATAGCGAACTTACGCATTGCGAACAGTTGCCTTCATGTTTGAAGTGCCTGATTCCGATTGGTCAGTCGGCGCAGCGAGTATCGACAAGGAAAAAAAGAACTGCATATCCGAGCCGCCGTTCGGATAAATGGGAACCTATTCTTAACGGAGGTCCAGAGTACATGCAGAAATCTCAAATATTAACCAGAGTCATGCAGCCTCAAATTCAAAGTTTATTTCCAAGCGACAATTTATAGCATCAATTTTGCAAATAGTAAACATCGTTAGCGGTGACAGAACGAGGAGGAAGAGTCGGGGCTGTTCAGAGGAGCCAGTGGTTTAGTTTCGTAAAGGGCTTCTGGCTTTTTTTATTTAATGAAGTGCTTTGATTATTTCTGGTCAGCATGAGTTCGAGTTCGTATTTCGTCAACCCGGCGTTTTTCCCGACCTATCCTCATGCGGGGGAACAGTTTTATGCGACCCCTTCCGGCAGTTACGAACTATCATCGTGTGCTTTTAGCAAAAACCCGAAGACCTCCTCCTATTCATCAAGCTCCTCGCCGAGCCTAGTGGCGACGTCCAAGCCACCATGCACCCAACAGCTCGGCGCCGCCACTTTTTACGGCGGAGGCACGTTATCGAACTTTTCAACGACGGCAGGGTACGGCGACCACTCGACGACGTCGGCAGGTTACGGGTCCATGTCGCAGCCGATATCGCCAACGAGTGCGTGGGATTCGAGGATGGCCGCCACGTATAATTCAGCGTCGTGGGGCAGCACGGCGGCGGAGTTAGGGGACGGGAGCTACCGGGGTAGAGTGAGCGCACTGACTGCTGGTACGGGGTGTTTGGTATCAGCAGCAGCTGAACCTAACAACAATCATTGCTCGCAAGTGATGTCCCCCTGTAAATCTACCTCAGGTTATCCATGGATGCCCGTTTCAGGTGAGAAAAATATAAATTACCTTAAGATCATTTATTTTAATGTATCAATCATATAATTTTACTATATTTGCGTCATGATCATGTTTATTAGTTTAATTAATTGAAAAGTCAATTATAGGCGAATTTGTGTATGTAGAACAAAAATGGTCGTACTTAAGTAGTGTATGTCCAGAGGTTGTCTAATGGTTGGAAAATGACCGGACTTGCCCTTGATATTTAACTTCTTCGAAAGCCCTAGCTATGTCCACATTTTAGAAAGGTTTAGTTTATTATCTAGGGCCTACTTGAGAGAAACAGCATATAATTTTTCTGTTTTTTTAATCAACTTTTCTCTCTTGTTCATTTACCCGAATGAACCTATAATCAGGGATATGTGAGTTTAATCTATCAATCATTATTCTTACCAGTATATCGCTTTGAAATATCTGCTTATCCCCCAAACTGAGCGAAATTTCACTTACCAGCTGAAATTGATTTTGCGATTGATTTGGTATTATTAGGAGTACACAATTAATTAAACTTGATGTATTATGGTTCCTTTTCGTCTTTCAGTCAAATAGTACTCAAACATCATTCATGTCTTTTGTGTCTTGCACACTGACTGTTTCCGAGTCATAAATGCCTCGTACATGATCATTCATTATACAAATTAGGGACATGCAGTTTGTTTGGCATCAACACTTTTAGTGGTTATTACACGATAGGAAACAAAACTCGGAATAGTTTCGAAGTCACGCAAGCGATGATTTCCTGTAAACTAAAAATGAAAGTACCACGATGCTGAGATTGATTGGTCTGGAGTTATTGTCTTTCTAAAAAAAGGTGAAGAATACAAAGTGCTCTCTTTGAGGCTAGAAAGTAAAATATTTACGTTAATTTTTGCATCACAATATTCTCTAGCTCTTGCGAGGTGTATGTGAAGAATGCATTATTATTTACCGTTCTAAATTACTCTGGAAGTTATACAGTGTTTAATTTTGTGTTTTACTTGAATAATTAAAAAAAGAGTAAATTTATCTCGCACGCTGAATAGATGTTGAATGCAGCATAAAATTTGAGTCAATGCAGCATAGAATTTCAGTCATTGATAAATACTTGACAGTGTTTTGTATGGTTAAAAATAGCTGTGTGCTGTCGTCCCTCTCTCCCCCCCCCCCCCCATCCACCTATTTTTGTCTTGAAAATGATATTTAATTACCACAGCTAATTGAGGAAGAGTCCAGACATTGGATTAGTTATATTTGCGTTAAGTATTAAGGTTGTAGCATTTCCGAATCAAGGTTACAAACATACCCTGTAATTGGACACAGACGATAAGACAAGGTGAAGTGACACCATACTATATACTACTCGTCATTGAGAGACACATTAGCACCGTGACGCTAACGGTTTATGGCATCGTAAACCCAACAGTTAGAGTTATGTCAATCGGTCTGCCACGCGCGTGAATCAATTTTAAACGAAAATCTAGTTTATTTAAGGTCTTAGATATCAAAATTCATTGAAATCGAAATCAAAATATTCAGTGATATCCTCACAAATATTTGTTTGAACTAGTTGTTGTTATGGTTTAACAGTTCAGTAAGTAGAAGCATAAATATATTCAGTGTTAATACTAATGACGATAATTTTGATAACAACAGAGATAATGAAAAGTAGATGGTATAGTATAGTGTATGATATAGTAGTAGTAGTAGTAGTAGTAGTAGTAGTAGTAGTACCAGCAGCAGCAGTAGTAATTGTAGTAGTAATAGTAATAGTAGTATTGTTAGTGGCAGTAGTAGTAGTAGTAGTGGTAGTAGTGGTGATGATGATGGTGGTGGTAGTAGTAGTAGTGGTAGTAGTGGTGGTGATGGTGGTGGTGGTGGTGGTGGTGGTTGTAGTTGTAGTCGTAGTATAAGTAGTAGTAGCCACGTCGTTGTCGTCATCGTAGTAGTATTTTGTTTTATTTCACCTTCTAAATACACAATTGTTTTATTCAATTTTAATTCAATTTGTTTTCTTTAAATATTTTAATTGATATCATGTAATATTGCGGAGTATCAAATGATGAACTGTTTGATATTGCTAACTTTGATTCGCTACTTTTTAAGCGATATGAAGAACAGCATATCTTGTTAATTTATTCATTTATTTCATAAATGTTCAGCAGATTTATTTTATAAACGTTGAGCCTCAATAATGTCTCCATCTGCCCATATGAATCACGATGTCTTTTCATTTTAGATTCCAATCACTGGCAGTATACAGAAGGATTTGGATTTAGATATATATATATATTTGTTTAAATCTTTGTATATTCTAAGAAGGAAACCAGACTGGCAGACAACCCCTGGCAGTCCTTTATCTATTGTTATCGATCTACTCTAAATTTCCGGATTTCACTTTCCGGCTGGAACAACTGACAGAAGGCGCGAAGAAGTTGGCCGAATAAAACCAATTTTACTACTTGCTTTGCTTAAAACTTAGAATCTACATGTTTATTATGAATAAAGCTAAATCTATCATCGTACTAGGCAAGATTTTCAATATGAATAGGGCCATCAAGCATTACTGAATCTGCAAGCTAATCCACTGGTTGTGCTACCTGCATGAATAACACTTCATAACGATACCGAATATATTATCAATATTATGTGATAAAAGGAAATAGAATCACATTAGATACAGGCAAATCAGATTCTACGAATGACTTGGGTAGCGACTTTCAGTTAGATACATGTAGAAATCTTGATTTGTATATACCCCGTCATTACATTCTAACCTGTCTCGTATTTCTTAGTTTAAATGTTTAAGATTACCTGTCATTCGATTGAGCAAAAATAATAAATTTAACAAGTAGACAATTCAGCATCTATTACTTATTATCCACTCTAAATTTCCTCCCATGGTGATGTGTAATAATACATCTGTTACCCTTTTAGATCTTCATCCATTTCAGATTAATAAACATGCTGTTATTTATTATGTTCATTGAATAGTTGTGTGAAAAATCACCACAGTCATGTTGATGTAATATCAGGCTTTGTCTATCCTGCATATAAAGCAAAGTTTAAGTATGGTCTCCAAAATGTGAGAAATGAACAAGCCGTTCACAAATAAATTAATGGACCCACGTGGCTCGGTTTGGTATACTAATCGAAAGTGGCCCCTAATTAGAATATTGGTAATTCGGTTTGAGGGCTTTGGGTTATGCCCTTGATTAAACACGTTTGTGTTATTTTTTTTCCTTCAATTTAATGCAATTGACAGCTAACACGTGATCTGTTTGATACTTGTATCAAATTTATGATTTTTCAAATATACCAAAATATACCAAATATATCATCGTGATGATAACTCGAATTCAGACTCTCTCTCTCTCTCTCTCTCTCTCTCTCTCTCTCTTTGTCTCTCTCTCTTTGTCTCATTTACTCTCATTCCTTGCCTTTTTTCCTTGTCTCATGCACTCTTCCTCTTTTTCTCAATATTACCCTGTATAGGTAACATAATTATGTATTATTATCAATATCGGAGTAACTGTAGCAAACTTTTATTTTACGTTTATTTCGAATTTTGTTGAAGTTTTACCATGATAAATGCGCCAATATTAGTAGATTATCAGCATGATTTTTTTCCCCTCCGTATAACTGCGCAGCTGCTTCGCCGAGTCTTTACCCTTCCACTCTGCCTGCTCTAGCCGACGACTGTCCAGCGGTTAACCGTTGACTCTCCTTGCAAAGCGTGAGATAATTGTGTCTGCTCCATGAACCTTACCACTATCCCTGACACAAACCACAATTCATTCACAAAAACAGTTCACTCTACGCTCGGGACTACAGATAAAATGTCAAAACGGTGATATAATCATTTCATTTGGTTGCTTAGTTTCTCTGCTAAACAAATTGTGTAGTTTTTTTATAGTTTTCCGAATCGGATATTCAGCCCATTGCCACCACACGTTTCCCTTAGGGGAAAAATAGGAAAAAAGAAAACATGAATACATAGGCCTAATAAGCATGATTGGGATTTTTTTCGCTTGAGCGAAAATTCGACAACTTCCGTTATTCAATGTAATTATTTCAACACCTGTAGTTAGACAGATATCATGAAACGGTGTGATCCGTTGAAAAAATAAGACTGGCTTTCAAAAAAAGTCCGAGGAATCCTGAAAAGGGTTTATTGTTGTTTCTTTGTTTCTACGCGTCACCCTTTCCTTCCTTGCACTCTCCCCCGCCCTCCTGTCCCCCATCCCCACCCCTCTTTCTCTCTCGTTATATCTCTCCCTATCTCTCACTCGCCTCTCTCTCCCCCTTCTCTCCCTCTCTCTCTCTCTCTCTCCCACCCTCCCTTCCTCTTTCTTGCTGTCGTCCTCACTCCATTCCCCTTCCCCTCTCCCCTTCCCCTCTCCCCCTCCTCCTTGTCCATGTCATTTTCTTTAATAATAATATCTTATACTCTTTGATTCTCATTCAGTAAAGCCTGTTTTTGCGACCACCTGTATAGCAAGACCACCTGTTTATCATTATAATGACCTACTTTTGATATTTGTTTCTCTTCAAAAGTATTTCTCATTGAACATGTGCCAACTGTACAGAACGATCGACTGTTTGTAAAGATCTTACCTCACTTGACATGGCTTATAAACAGCCCTTACATGTATGTACAGGTTTCATTCAGTTATTTATCTTTCTTTCTCCCCGTTTTCGTCTCCCTTCCCCTTCCTTCTCTCGTAATACTTCTAATTTCACATTTTATAAGTAAATTAAGAGATAAAATTAATACTAGCCTGAATTTCAATCAGCAGATAATCCGAGTTCAGCGAGATATTTTTTGTGTATGATTCATTTCTTGAAAAGGGATCAAACTTGTAAATAAATTACGCAGGTAGTTTAACTTCATTGTTTCTGTTTGATGGCGATGGCTTTACCTGACTGCTAAGAAAGCATGTAATATTACATCTTCTCTGCCTGTTGAGCGTTTTTTATGACAATGTAGGCCTAGTATTTTAACCATTCCAA